TCGGGGGTCTGAGGTGGCAGTGTATTTAAGGAATCAGTCTGCTCAGTAGATGTGTGCGGTCCCTTACGCACGGTCAGTAGCACGATCCAAACTTCCACATTGCCGGCGGCATCTCTGTTTGTATTTATTTATTTTTTTTTGTATTCTATTTCCTATGAGTGTGGGTTTATCAGCCGAGACGGCGCCCCTGAAGCTAAGCAGAGACTTTTATGGTATACAAAGCAATTGTACATAGGAAGTTCCCTCTTATCTTTCTTCTCCTAAGCCTGCATGTGCGGACAGTCGAGCAGAGACTGGATTTCTGTATGATAACCTGTGCATATTATAAAGACTGAAGAACAAAGAGCACTTACTGAGAGAACGGAAGCCCCAGCATGACTCTGTGTGTCGTCTCTCGTAGCTATCACTGCGTTACTACACACATCTCCTTTGGTTATGGAAGAGAGTTTTTATTTAATTTTATTTTTGTAAAATATAGACGTACAGAATCGAGTATATGAGAGGAAACCCTGGGACATTCGTCTTCATCAAAGTTTTTTTGTTTCGCGTTCGTTATAATAACAACAACAACAACCAATAAAAGTAATAACAGCTATCAAAGAGCAAGGACATGGTTTACTCTGTCCCATACCTGTTAGCCCTGCTGAAAAATCCAGCTTAAACCAGCCTAGGCTGGTTTTAGCTGGTCGACCAGGCTGGTTTTAGAGGGGTTTTGGCCATTTCCAGGCTGGTTTCCAGCCATTTCCAGCCTGGTCTTAGCTGGTCAGGCTGGAAAATGACCAGCTAAAACCAGCTAAAACCAGCTTGACCAGGCCTAGGCTGGTTGGCTGGGTTTAAGCTGGATTTTTCAGCAGGGCTAACAGGTATGGGACAGAGTAAACCATGTCCTTGCTCTTTGATAGCTGTTATTACTTTTATTGGTTGTTGTTGTTGTTATTATAACGAACGCGAAACAAAAAAACTTTGATGAAGACGAATGTCCCAGGGTTTCCTCTCATATACTCGATTCTGTACGTCTATATTTTACAAAAATAAAATTAAATAAAAACTCTCTTCCATAACCAAAGGAGATGTGTGTAGTAACGCAGTGATAGCTACGAGAGACGACACACAGAGTCATGCTGGGGCTTCCGTTCTCTCAGTAAGTGCTCTTTGTTCTTCAGTCTTTATAATATGCACAGGTTATCATACAGAAATCCAGTCTCTGCTCGACTGTCCGCACATGCAGGCTTAGGAGAAGAAAGATAAGAGGGAACTTCCTATGTACAATTGCTTTGTATACCATAAAAGTCTCTGCTTAGCTTCAGGGGCGCCGTCTCGGCTGATAAACCCACACTCATAGGAAATAGAATACAAAAAAAAATAAATAAATACAAACAGAGATGCCGCCGGCAATGTGGAAGTTTGGATCGTGCTACTGACCGTGCGTAAGGGACCGCACACATCTACTGAGCAGACTGATTCCTTAAATAACACTGCCACCTCAGACCCCCGAGTTAATCTGAGATCCAGTCACAACCGTAACAAAACACTGCGCTCGCTGGGCCACACTCCTCATTACTGTACAGCGAGGATGGGCAAATGGCCGCTCGATGAATGAAAGAAGGGAGGTTCGCTAGCTGTGACACCCCTGAAGAAACACTTTTATTTTGAAATAGGCCCAGCGGGACACCGCCTTCAAAGGGACACTTCCGCCATCATGACTATCTGTCATCATTTACTCAGCTGGTCCAAACCGGTTTCAGCTTTTGTCCTTATTTGAACACCAAGGAAGCTAAACTGAAGTGTGCTGAGAGCAGAGATGTATAGTTACGAAGTAGAACTACTTCACTAATGTACTTAAGCAGTAAAAGGCTGTATCTGTGATCTACTGGAGTATTGTTTTTTCCTCTTCACTCTCCTATCGATGAAGTTTTTTTGCCTCTCCGCTGTTCCCACTGGCTTGCATGGGTCAGGATCGGTAGAGCTACGCATCGATGAATTTGCTCTTCAGTGTTTGATCTCTCAGTAATGACTTTCAAGGTTCAGGACACCCTGGAGAACTTTTTTTTTTGTATATTAACAGATGTGTGTGTGTTGAGCATCAGTTAAGACAATGTTAGCACCTGTCAGCTTTAATTGTGGGGAAAACTGGATAATTTTGAGCTTTTGTCAGCTCATTTCAGCTTCCGGGTTTAAAATGATTTTTGGGGCGGGATCAAAATCGGCGACGTAGCGCAGAACTGCAAGTGCAATGATGACGCGTCGGTTTCTCATTATTATTCATAGCGGCGTGTTCTTATCCTATGAGAAGAGCCGGCTGCTTAATTATTCATGAGACCTGCCAGAGTCAAGCCCGAGCTGTGAGACACAGACCGACAGTATTTAGCCGTTCATGAAGGCTCATATGCGTTTGTTTCCATGATCCACGGGGTTTGTTGCATGTTTTCCCCCGCGATCTTGTCAGGGCCGATCATACAGCAAAGCTGTGTGTGCTGCTAGCATTTTTGTCGGGAGAGCAGCACGAGAATTAGAGAATGGCGGACGCTGTCTTTTATCAGGAGTTAGTTCACATTTAGACACATCACTGTGCTGCTGTGTTCGCCTAAATCCTCCAGATTACCAGCAGGGCTAATGGTTAAAATAGACAGGTCAGGAGACCTGCTGCACTGAGTCTGCTGGATACGGGGATTGAGGGAGAATCCTCATTTATAGGGTTTACATGAACACATTATTCTTTATAATGATATAAATTGTGGTTATGTGTTTATGAAATTACGAATAACAAATGTAGCAGGGCATTAAATCACTGTTCATTTCTTTGCATTTTAACTTTGGGAACTATAAACTCATGCGTCTCCTATATGTTACAGTCTATGGTCTCCTCACGGTTTGTGTCATTTTATGAGCTAACTGACAACAACAGTTGTTCACTCGAGTTCTCCCCTGCTGGCCACGCCCACTCCTGCCCGATGCTCGCGGAGCTCCACGCCCATTAATCATGCATCTTTTGAAAAAATTCTGAAGTAGACTTTAACCGAAAGTGGGGGGTGTCATGGCCCTTTAAACCACACTGAACTGAGCTAAACTGAACTGAACTTAAACCCTAAAAACTGAACTACCCTGATCCAGTTACTACGACCATTTATGTTCAGCTGCTTTGACACAATCTACATTGTAAAAGCGCAATACAAATAAAGCTGAATTGAACTGAATTAACTTCTACTCAAGTCACTTTTTTGATAGAGCACTTGTACTTTTACTTAAGTCTGGGTCTCTAGTACTTTATACATCTCTGCTGAAAAGGCACAAAAAGTGCCAGTCTCATCAAAACAAACAAAAACAATTGTAGAAGAATAAACATCAATTATTTTTTAAATAACGATCTAACGTGAACTTCGATGTTAAGCTCCTTTGACACAATCTACATTGTAAAAGTGCTATACACTGCAAAAAATGCTTTTCTTGCTTAGATTTTTTGTCTTGTTTCTAGTCTAAATATCTAAAATTTCTAATATCAAGAGGCATTTTCTAGACAAGCAAAACATATTGTCTCGTTTTGAGAAATAATATGCCAATAATAAGTGAGTTTTTCCTTAAAACAAGCAAAATAATCTGCCAATGGGGTAAGCAAAATAAACTTGTTTTTTTCTTTTGACGTAAGATTATTTTGCTTACCCCATTGGCAGATTATTTTGCTTGTTTTAAGGAAAAACTCACTTATTATTGGCATATTATTTCTCAAAACAAGA